CTTCCTTCCGGGGAACAAGATGATTCCCAGGCATATTTCTACAGAAAATACCTTCGGTCTACAACAAAGGTTTTCATCTGTATGTATGTACAACTTTCGAAAGATATAGGAGAAATTTGTATTTATGCTTGCCGCTCAATCTTCACGACATTTCACATCTGTAAAGGGTTTCACACGTGGACGTGCATGAAACTTAAGAATTTTTTCGTGTGCGGTTAAGCGTGAATATTATTCACGAAATGAGTTGCGTGAAACACTGACGTGCGAATAAATGTGAAGATATTTTTCACAATGAAATTAGTGGAAATCATTTTCACGCGTGTCGCAAGTAATATTTTTTACGAAAATTTTAACATGAGAAATTCACGTGTGGCCATACACACTTCACGACTTTCACCTGTGATCATGTGCGAAAAATATGACGCGAAGCGTTTTCGTGACCATTTCACCTGTTGTTACAGGTGGAATAAATTTTTCACGCGTGCCCACACACCATTTTACGATGTTCACGTGCGACCGCAATTCATTTCGCGATATTCACGCGTGTACACGCCGCGGTACCTACTAAAATTTCTCCATGGGAATCATCAAAAAGTTGCGCTCGGCCTGCGTTCAACTCGATTTATAAATCTCCACTAGCGTTAAAATTTTTGACTCGAACTATTTATATCTATTTTAAATTTTCTACTAAAAGTTAAAATAGTTATAAATGGTTGATGTTAAAAATATTTATAAATCATATACTTTTAAACTCTTCAGTGGTACATGCGGATCCTCCATGTGCCAACTTCTTTGAGTTATTTATGCTCAAGAAAGTATTAAGTCTCTCCTCCGTGACTGACTTCGACATAAGACTGCAATTTATTTTCAAAATAAAAATGCGTAAAATCTCACAATGTCAAAATCATTTCCATTCTCAGATCTACAAAGTCAGCCTCTTTGACTGACACAGTAACAAAGATCTTGACTGTATGAAATGCTTAAATGAGACTCATGATCGCCACACTACTCGGAAGAGAAAATTCTTCAGTCTTGTAACAAAATGGAAAACGTACATTGACTCTCTCAGAGACGACTGAATAGAAAGTAGAGAGAAGAGAGAAAAGGAACATGGGTAAGGTAAGATCTAGAGAGGTGGGGGGGAGGGTGCTTTTTTCCCGTGTAGTGAATTTTTTAATATTAGGTGAAAAGAGCCTGAAAACCCTAATTTTCGTACAACTTGGTTTTCGGTAGATTTTTAGAACTTTTTCTAAAAATAAATATTTCCACAAAACTCAGCATGGTCGATTACCGATAGTCCATCAGTCCTTAAGGCTACCAATAGAAACTGGGTGCCAGTCCTGGGACCCGTAGGAAATCCGATACAACGCCCGAACCGTGGAAAATCAAGGTCTCACTTTACTTCCATTTTGGAGAGGACACCCCGAGCTATCAGCCCATGAGAAAAAAGCAACACAATCCTATTGGAAAATGTTTACAGACGGCCTAGTTTTCCAAAGATCTCCTAGAAAACTTGTTTCAGAAAACTCTTGCGAAATAAATGTTGGTTATGAAAACATACCTCCAAGTCTCCTCTTTTGAACGGCGAAAACCGCAGGTCTCTATCTTGCTCCTATCAAAAGTTATTCGCAATCAAATCATTCAGTGACTTATGGGACACCGCGTAGGTTCTCACTCGGTTGTTGCATTTTGTTCTGAAAACTAACATTGCCGTGGGATTCAGCATAGTCGATAACCTATGTTTTCATTCATTTTTGACAGTCCCAAACCTAACGTCAGAGGAGTGCTAAGGCTTCAGGAAAAACGTCCATAGCTTCCGAACCATAGATTTCCAAGACGTCGCCTAGATCCAGTTTTGTAGAGGACACTTCAGACTATATATCTATGAAAAAAAACTCATAGATTTATATGTCAGTTTTCAGAAAACCGAACTGGTTTTCCAAAGATCCTCTGGAAAACCGGCTTCGAAAATTTTTCGGAAATCTGTTTTTGCTTATGGAAAGATAGCTTCAAGTCTTGGCCATCGAATGGTGAAAAACGCAAGTCTTGATCTTGTGTTTCCTTCGAATTATTCAAAAAATAATGAACGGCTTTGCTTTTTGGATGTTAGTATTTATATAACCTAATAACGGAAAAAAGATCTCATTCAAGTTTATTTTTTTCGAAATTTTCACTCATACCGTTAGCGCAAATCGAACATATCTTCGTGTTAGTTGAATGAGAAGAAAACGTTTATCGTATAAAGAGAATTTTCATTTGGTATTCAAGGAAGTATATAACAAGTATCGACCTATATGTGATACGTTCGACAAAACATGTGAGAAGAGAACTTGATGACCAAGTTGAACTTGGTCATCAAGTTGCACAAGAGAACTAATTAAATTTCTTAAATATAACAAGCGCGGTTTTAATCTGGTTATATTTGTTATGAAAAAGGCCGCCTGACACAGGCATTTGAACGAAATCATGAACTGTTTTATAACAATATATCTAATCAGCAAATACCAGTCATACTCTATGTTGGCCATTGTGAAGTTGACGATCCATTGGATACATGGATCAAAGAGCAAGTTAATGCTGATTCTTTGAAATTATATAATTTTTGTCAGATTATATGTGGTACAGCTAAACAAGGTGGCAGCGCCAATCGTGAAGCAATATTAAAACGAAGAATGTCATAGAAGTTTAAAATCTTTCTCGTTTCTGTCTGACAATCTGACTAAGACAAAATACAAATTTTTATCAGAGCATAAGATGTTTCGTTGCGAGAACTACGCTTTGATTCTCATGAGATTTCTCAGTACTTCTATAATCTTATTTCAGTGAGTGCTTCCAACCTTTATTAACATTTCTATGTATATTCCTTATATATTTTGTTCTTCTGCAAGCAAGTATTCAATCAAACAGAAATGTGCTTGTACATAAATCTGCTTTCAGCCGAGGATGCAAGCATGTATATTTTTGTCTTTCTTGCACATGTATCATATTTGGAAAACAAAACAAATGTGCTGGAAACCGTACTTGACCGTGAAATGCATTGATGCGCAGTGTTAAATGACTAAGTAGAGCCCTTTTATATTATTTGTGCTGAGCACTGCAATGATTCATTACATAAAAATATAAATAACGTGAATTGAAGCAATTCACTAGATTCACTGACTGCAAGTCGTCAGCTTTTCTGATGCACAAAAGGCACACATTCCAGGTCTAAGCAAGAAACTGACCTTATTTCAGAGCAACATTTCCTGTTCACGTCCTTCACAAGCTTCGCGCTAGTCCAGTATAGCCTATCGCCTGTCATAGCGATTCATGGCTATGCGTATGCACGTGCATCACACTCATTATTGTCTCTATCAACACGAATTGGTCCATGCGTGTATCTACTTCCATCAAACTCATTAGAGAATTTATGTATCCACGTTCGTCATTAATGGCTGTCAATGATAATAGTCCCCATGTAACCTACACTTTCCAGCCTCCCGTATCAACTGCTCATCCGTGAAATACTTTTTCGGCTTTGAGATAAGTAGTTCGCGCGCTATATTACAAACTAAACCTTCGTCATACACTCTCATCAGTGTGTATGCTCGTCCGTTACAAACATTCATGTGTGTGTATGTGTATGTGTATGTGTATGTGTGTTATATAAAAAATAGAAGTAGCTAGTGAGCCCCATAGGAAATTAAGACGGGATAAAAATTCAAAACTGTTTTAGAAAAGGTTTTAATTAAATTCAAGTAAATTCATATTAGAATAATTTTTATTTATTTAATCTTCGATACTGAGCGTAGGTCTAAGTTTCTTTATCCAAGATGATTCTCGTGCTCCGCTACGGTCATTACACAGTTTTCATTGTCTGGAACTTTGGAGAACTCTCCGCCGTTCAATAAAATTTCGGGCATTTCTAAACCCAGCTCCTTTCTAATATCTTCCTGAAATTCAGAAGAGTTTGGATAATTGAACTTTTCTTGATTTCCATGTTTAACTATGATTTTATAACAAGTAAAGGTTAAATTATTTGGTTCATAGTGGAATCCAATCTTTCCATCATTAGTTAGTCTTGACACTTTAATATAAATATCTCGGATAGGAACAATACCTGGCAGCGTCAATAAACAATGATAGTTTTGAACGGTCTGCTGACTGTCAATTATTTTCAAAGTTTTATCAAAACGATAAAGGCTAAACCAAGTATTTTTGATCCACATGTTCAGTTGACAATAGTCTTGAGCACTCAAAAATTGATATCTTTCATTTTCTAACAACGTTATTTCTTCCGATTGATCTAGATTGATCTGAATCGGATAACGTAAACTATTATACCCATAGCCCACATCAACCATAAATAGCTTGTCTTCGATCTGGACGACTAAAATATTGTGTGAGGAAACCATGTGTTCGTTAAATGGATTATTATTTAAAGGGAATGCCGGAACTCTTCTTACATCGAATTTTAGACCGTGCAGCGCATACAATAATAGCTCCGACGTTTCATAACACATGCCACCTTCTTTCCTATCGATCAATTTAGTTACCAAGGCTGACAATGACAAATCGTTTTTCTCCCTTAAGAAAAGGTTAAAATTTTGATATGGAATAGCCATAACATGCTTGTTAACAATAAGAAACAAAGTTTCAGCCGATGGTTTTAATGAATCCAGAAGTTGATCTGGAATTCCGATAGTTCTCAGATACTTTTGTAAAAGCATATTTGCTTTCCTTGTTTAGTAAAACTGAATAAATACTGAAAATACGACTGATTGGTGCTACGAAGAAATAAGCGGAATGCCTTGCTGGTTGAGAGAAAACGAAATTTTTGGAGTTGGAATGATGTGAAGTAAACGAGTGCTGGCAATCTGATGGCAAAATGGTAAGACGATAATGGAGAGAGAGATTGACGTTCAATAGCAGCGGCACCTTTCAGTTTTGATTAAGTTGCAGAGATATCTGAAAGACAAAAACGTGCGAGTCATCATTCTTTCGCGAGAATTGAGGAGGTGCGATGTATATCGGTAGCTTAGTGGCTCTGAGCAGACCTCACAACTAAAAAAAGCGGAGATTCGAGTCTTTTCCGGGGCAGCTGTGTTTTTTCTCTTTCATTTCTGTCATATTAGTGTGCTCCTCTCTTTCCAGCCTTACAGTAGAAAAACCTTTCGATAACACAGATAGAATAGTAATAAGTTGGTCTTTTTTGAAGTGGTTAAGGTGATGAAGCAAAAAAAGGCTGCTTTTGTGATCGTTTTCATGCATGCGCAGATGAAGAAAGAATATGTAACTGCGCACATGAGTTTTTTGTTCTGTTCGTTCTCTATTTGCTTTCCTATGTTTCACTTGCCAATGACAGAAACGTAGTTTTATAAACATTTTCTCTTCTCTTCTGCGCATAAGTACGAATGGTAGCGAACAGCGTGGTGGTATTTATAGAGTAAATACTTTTGTTTTATTTCAAATATAATTTTCACATACCATTAGGAAGCAAAATTCTTATTTCTCTGTTTTGCACGAACGAATACTCGACAGCCATGCATGGGTTGAAAAAATCGTGCTATCCACGTTCTAAATCGTCTTTTAAAGCTAGAATAGCTCAAACCAGCTGAAGAAAAACCTCAAAACTATTCGACTTCGAATGCTTTTATGCTGACCGATTGTCCATATCGAGGTAGTAGATAACCCAACAGGTTTTACTCCACGGCGCTTTCTCCTGGAGTTATCGACGTTTTTAAAAGTTGAAAAATTCATAACTCAGTCAAAATTTAGTGTAAAGAGCCGAATTTTTTTTCTGTGACTCTTCTTCAAATATGCGATGCCCACAAAACGTTATCAGCTTTCTAAGTGTTTCTTTTCTTGAGTTGTATAATCTCGTTTAGGTCTCATTTTGTTCAGAATTTCATGCTCTTTCGCCCAGCTGCGCTATCAAAAAAATTGAGCAACCTGTTTTGTGTTCCAGAAATTTTTGTGATTGTAAGAAGTCGCTTCAAAAAAATTTCAGTCGTCCCGAGACTGAAAAATTTCGAGATCTGATACACTCAAAATTCGAGGATAATCGAGACTAAAGGTTCGGATGTGGAAATTTTTCGAGACTCTAGATTATACTAAAATTCAATGGGGCTAATGAAGGTCTATACGAAACAAATGCACAATGTAATGCATAGCAATACTTAGTATATATGTATTTAATTAGAATGTCTTATGAATTTATTTATCTTCTTTCTTTGGTTATATAATCATGCAAACAATGATTAAATTGCTAAAAGAAATGCCAGAAAATTGAACTGTATTCTCACAAAAGATGAAGCGCAGTTTGTTCATTTTCACACGACAAAATCAGAAACATCTAGTCTAAATCTGTTAGTTGTTATTAATCCTGGACGACGAGCAGCTAATCGTCTACATCTATGATTTCTATATTTGAAAATATTATTAGCTATTTTATAACAATTACCAACAGTAAAACAAATCGTATGTGGTAATGTTAACGACGGTTTAAGCATAAACTATAATACTGATGAAGATTATACATGGTGGACATTTACTTCATCAAAACGTAAAATTCTCGGCTTGTGCAGTTGTATTTGGGTAAAAGTGATACATGAGGATTATTTTCTAATGCTTGAACTGAGATGAATTCCTCAAAACGAAGAAGAAATATTACTTTTATCCCATACATCTTTTAACATTATTCGTATGTTAAGTCCAAAATATGTCGATCGATAGTGAGCTAGTAAAAACTCTAAGAAGATATGGACCCTTATCGCTTCTTTCAAAAGTTATTGAACAATTTCTCTTTTCTCTGTGTGAAGCAAGAAAAAATTAAAATTTTATAACTCTCTTAAGAAAAGGAATTATGAGTTCAAATCTTTTTCTGTGGCTCTTCTATATGTCTCTGATATTCATAGAAACTTTCAGCTTTTC